TCCATGCATGACTGAGATCCGGTTCCGAAATTGTGAAAATACGTGATTTTGATGCATTTTCGGCCTTAAAATGGCCATCATTCAGCTATTGTTAAGCAGATCATGAAACAAATGCACATATCTATTTGTGACATGATGTACCATGTGTGTGTGAAGTTTGAACTTGATCAATCCAGACATGTCTTGGATACTGATCCAGAACTGAATTCTTTAATAAAATGGCCGCCAGTCGGCCATTTCGAACTTAATCCGAAAAAAAAAATGATGTGCATCAAGGTCCTATTATGTTTAATGTATGTACCAAATTTGAACGAAATCCGTCCATGCATAACTGAGATCCGGGTCCGGAATGGTGAAAATGTGCGATTTCAATGCATTTTCGGCCTTAAAGCGGCCGCCATTTGGCTATCATTAATGAGATCATGAAACAAATGCACATACATATTTGTGACATGATGTACCTTGTGTGTGTGAAGTTTGAACTCGATCAATCCAAGCATGTCTCAGATACGGATCTAGAGCTGAATTCTTTAAAACAAAATGGCCGCCAGTCGGCCATTTCAAACCCGATCCAAAAAAAAATGACGTGCATCAAGGTCCTATTATATTTAATGTATGTACCAAATTTGAACAAAATCCGTCCATGCATAACTGAGATCCGGGTCCGGAATGGTGAAAATGTGCGATTTTGATGCATTTTCGGCCTTAAAATGGCCGCTATTCGGCTATCGTTAATCGGATCATGAAAAAAATGAATGTGCATATGTCCCATATAATGTGTGATGTATGAGTGAAGTTTGAACTTAATCGGTCCATGCATGTTCGAGATACAGGTGATCACGGACGCACGGACGGACGCACACAGGGCAAAACATAAGTCCCCGTTTTCGGACTACGTCCAAACGGGGACTAAAAAATATATGCATAAGCGCGTGTGTGAATTGTGGAAAACAGGGTGCCCCCCCCCCCCATTCGCAAAATCAAAATCAGGGTAACCCCCCTACTGATCCACCCCCAGGCCGAAGTAACTGACCAATCCCTAACAACAGCATACGTCCTAGCAATAAAATAAAATGACTTCTAAGGACTGAATGTTTTTTTTGCGAACTTTGTATACGGTGCCCGGTTTTAGTTATAAACCGACGTTAGCTTCACGTTCATGTCCTACCATGGCAACAGCCGAAAACATATTGCTAGTTTTTTTTTAGTGGAGTGGATCGCCAACCGGCTTGTTTTCATTGGCAAAATCGTTCAGCAACATGTTTGGCATATTAGGTGTACATCACATGGACTACTACGACTGAGAGAACTTTATGTATGTTGAATGAGTTTTATAAACTCCGAAGGGCTCTTGGAAGATCCACCCGCAGTAAAATTAGCGATTGCCATGGAGGCGCAACCATCACATCAAAATCG